GCGTTATATCAGATTAGATTAGAAAAATAATTATGCAATGTATACAAATAATAAAAGATCATAATGAAACAACGATAAAAAGAAAAAAGAAAACGAATATGTATCTTGTAAAATGGACGAAAAAAAATATAAACGATATTCCGTGTAAATTCCGTCGAATATCCGTTCAAATGATCAATGAAATTTACGGGTACATGAAACGCGCAATAAGTAAAAATATAATGGTAAATCGTATTTTCACGATGATTCCGTGAAAAACATTCGATTGATTTATTCATCGATGTTCCGTACGCTTTACGTAATTTCCCAATACACGAATCTTTGAACGAAGCAGAAAAGACGCGGAGGAAAAATTGCATATGTATAACTTTGATCTTTGACAAACTATTTTTTTTCAAATATGTACAAATTGTACGCGTTAAGTTTAACGACTTTTTTTTTTTTTAATCAACTTTTCTTGTAGCATCATCGCACAGCGTTCCTGCTCAAAGTACCGTCCAAAGTATTTTTTACCATTTCCAACCGCGTTTCTTCGATCCAAGATTTTTTTTTTTTTTTTTTTTTTTTCATTTCCTCGTTGCGTTTCTTCTCTCTCGAAATTTTCATCATGGCGCACGCCATGATCAATCGGACGTAATCCATTTGTCCATTTTCCATCGCTTACAATCGCGCGATATTATTACAATCCGCGATATATTGGGAAACTTTCGACGATCGCCAACTTCGACGCGTATACCGATAGACAAAATAAGGTAATTGAACGCGGGAATCGAGCGTGACAAATATATAATATGTATAGCATGTATAGTACATGCGTGTATATATATATATATATATATGCGAGAACGATACGAACGGAGATTCAGCAGCACGAGCGTTTCGTCGTGTAGGAAAGCTCGTAATGGAAGCTCATTTATCGGTTCACTATGGTGTAATACGGTTTACATGTATATTCGCGACAAAAGACACGAACCGAATACGTTCTTTTCGAACTCGCTCGGGAATCTTCTGTTTTCGTTTCTCGATGTCATCGCTTGACCTTTTCGTTTCTTCCCGATCGAGTTTTGTTTTTTTTTTTTTTTCGTTCACATTTTTATGTTAATTCGCGTTACACAGAGATAACGCGGTATCGTATACCGCGGAAGGTTATTCGAAAAAAAATAAGAAAGAATATCCATGCTCGTCCCTGCCCCGGATTATTATTTCGTAAGGGTAAGGAGATGCTGAATTATCGACGGATCACAGATTTCTCGTTACATTTCGCGCCGGTTGTTGTTCTTCTCTCGGCACAGTTGAGCAATTGGCCAACGACAAATTGTTTCCTCGTTAAAACATCGTTTCCTTTTCGAGATAAATATTCACGTAGACACGTGGTATCCTATCTCCCGATTATCTACTTTGTTACTGTTGTTATTAGTTATTATTGTTATTATCTGTTACGAATCTTAAGCTCGGATAAACTTTACCAATATACCGAATGGACGTGCGGCGGCGGCGACGACGACGACGACGACGACAATTTACGGATCGAACGAGAGTTGGCAACCATTGACACGAACTTTGACACGTGACTATCCTTCGTCACGTTTCCAACCGTTTCTCATCGAAAATGTAAACGGGTGTATCGTTTACTAAGCGGCCGAATGACAATAAAATATCGCGATACACGATCGACTTACTCGTTTCACACACCACTCGCCTCGATTCCTTCCGACGGTCGAGAAAGGAGGAGGAGGAGAGCTTGTTCTTCGGTCACGAAACACCGATAACACCGAAACAAAACAACTATAACGAGATTATCGATCAAGCTCAATCACCTCGGCTCTAACAACATCTGAGGTTGTATACAGTACCGCTGTTACTGCTGCGTCCAATGAATCAACAGGCTGCATATAATCTGACTATTGGCCGCATCCCCTCCACTTAGGGATATTTCTCTCCTTTGCTTGTATCTTCGGACCCTCGTCACTCCGCACCCGCCTTACTTCTTCCAAACACTCTCCAAGAATTTTCTCCCTCTTAACGAGCGTTCACGAATCCCTTACGCTTCGTGTGTGCACGTGTGTGAATATGTTGGCTCGCTTGGTAGAGAAGCGTAGTATATAAATACTATACGGGTATAAGTGGCACCAGAACTTTAACTTCCGTCCAACCGAACTTTAACCGCTGGACTCACGAAATACGAGCGTCGTGTTCGCGCCACGCGCAGATGGCGGTCTCGTCTTAAACTTAACAATCGTCGACACGTGCTCGGGTTATCAGTTCACAACGGGAAAATTATAATTGGCGATAATCACACTGGCGATCGAACAAATCGGCTGACGATCGTTCGCGTCACAATTTTTCACGTTCGAGAGAAAATTCAATTCACGTTCAGTCTAGAATTTCGATATTTCGTCACTGCAATATTTAACTTAAACACGTTGATTTTCGTCAAGGATACAATTATCGTTTCGCAAAGCTTTCCTCTACGCGGACAGTTTCGTTCGTTATCGCGTTGATCGATAACGCGCGACCAATCCAAAAGAATACTCGAGAGTAGTTTGAAAAAAAAAAAAAAAAAAAAAAGAAAAAAAAAAGACAACGAAAAATTCTATTTACCGACACAACTTATATATAATCTTATCTCCATAAGTAAAATATATTTCTCTTAACCGTCTTTGAACAAGATATATATATATATAACGTTTTTTTTCTTCTTTTCTCTCTCTCTCTCTCCCCCTTCTCTCTCGACTCGTTTTACATATACGTGGTTAAATCTTGACCACCGACACTGCTCGAATTCTCGAGTCGAGATACTATATTCGATCCGATATTCATCCCGGATGGGGATGAACGAGTGGCGAAGAAATATATAATAGGGACGGATTCGTGCATACGTACTTGCTTGCTTACTGCGAGACGATACGCGATCTAAAACCGAACTCGTCGAGGTTATCGCGGAGGGAGAAAGGGAGGGTGTTGTGCTCGCGACACAGGTGGTAAGCCACAGAAGTGCCTCGTCGCCCCTTTTTCAACTCTCTTCCCCTTCCCCTTCCCCTCCCCCCGTCTCCCTCCCCCACGGACCCCGTCTTCGGTTCAAAGCCGTTGATCTCTTCATTGGCGAGCGTAATCATTTGCGAGTAGTGGCCGCGTAAAGAAACGGCTTCTGTCCGTTAATTGACCCGACGATTCCGTTGCGATTAACTCCGACCGTGCCTCGACCGTTTACCCGTTCGAATTCGCTGCTCGCTCGAGCGTTTATCAAAGTTTTCTCGAGCTTTTCGTCGTGAAAATTGATTGCAAAAATTCGACTCGTCCCGACACCCGTGAAATAAACATAAGATTACGTAAAATTTACGACGATCACGATAACGTAATTATAAGTAATAATGATTCGTAAACGGGATATATCTTTAATTTCGATTTTCACTCTTCGATCGTTCGTTTTTTTTCGTTTACGCTAGATAAAAAGAAAGAAGAAGAGAAAAAAAAAAAAAAACTTAACCGATATCTCGAGAGTTCGCATCGATGAAAAGCAATAGGTCGAAAGGTAGTAGAAGTAGAAGAGGACGTTGGTAAAAGTTTTTTCATTCTCAGATGTAACGTAATCCATCCAGCGATAAAAGTGGTGGTGGTGGTGAGGGGGGGAGGGGAGAGGGAGCGGGAGCCCGTACACTCGGATATTTAACCCGATACATAATCGTTCTGTTTTCGTTCTTGGCCAACATCGATGGTCTCCAGCCATGTTTCGGCCACGACTCGAAAAAACTTTTTAATCCCCAAAACTTTTTCCTCCCTCGAGATCATCGTCGTTACGTAACCGAGAAATATCTTATCCGACCATTACCCGATAACCGTATCGCTTCACTTAGTTTGCTTAGTAATAGTTAATAGTTGGATAGATTAATCGTGGCAGATCGCACGAAGATAATATCCCATCCCAATGTGTTTACCAACCTCGTCGAGAGTTGCCAGGGGAGGGGCGGGGGGGTGGGAGGGAGGAGTTGTGAGCGGAGCAACTATTTCCTCGATGAAATGCTATCCGTCACTGGATCATCTGGACTGGACTGGGCTGTCGTTCGCCTCGCCCGCGAAGCCTTACGAAGGTCCTTGTGGTCTCAAGACCACGCTTCACGTATGTAAATACCCGTGTATACTTCGCGATTCGCCTCGAACAAAACGAGATAAATCGCGGTGATAAGCCGATTACCGGCCGTGTTCGAACAATTTTCAAGAGTGACGGATGGGAAGGAAAATACGTTGGAGCCCATATAACATATATGTGTATATATATCGTGGAACGCACAACACAATGTAATCGACACAATTTATTTACAATAGAAAAACATATCGGATGTATACATATATACGTGTAACAGTTGAGCCGAGTTATCTGGGATATGGGTTGCGCCGGGTTAAGAACCCCTATGCTCCTCACGGCTCCGTATATACCTCCGAATAATGAACAAATGCCAGATCTAATCCTTAATAAACGTGCACTTATCTAATAAAGCTTTTAAACGATACATAATGTGACACGATGCAACGCAAGAACACTCGTATTAGTCGTAACTTATGTCTACGTAAACGATGTACATGTAAAGAGAAGAAACTTTTTGCAGCGTTGAATGGCCCTCCCCTCCATCGTCCTCGACCGTGCGATCGATAATATATCCTATGTTACATAAAAACCGAGAGCCGAGAGATGCTTATCTTCCTCTTCTCCTCCTTCCTTCCTCCTCCTCCTCCTTCTTCTTCTTCTTTTCTTTATCTATCGATGTCGCTACTTTAAGGGGAACAAAAAAAAAAAAAAAAGAAAAACGGATTTCGAACGGAGGATCGTAACCATTAACTGTCCATCTTTATTTCTCGTTGGACGATTGACAGAAACGTTTCCTCGCCCACCATATCGCCGCCAGGGCGGCAGCCAGGAATCCGATCCCCGCCACTATTCCCATCGAAATCGCTCTGTTCCTGCGATACGCAGGCACCTCGAGGCTGACGCGGTCGCTCGTCGCCACGTCGTCCGAGATCGACATCGCGGCCACCTCGAAAGTGTAGTAACTCTCCTCCTCGAGCGTTTTCACTGAAAAACAACGATCGTTCCATGATCGTTCTATATATATATATATATATCGAGAGTTTTTACCCAGATAGTAAGTGTCGGTCGTTTCCGCTCTGCCGTACAATTGCTCGGACGGGCCACGGAACCATCTAACGGCGTACAGTCTCACTTGCTCCTTCCCGTAAGCGGGCGGCTCCCAGGTGACCAAATAACCCTGCACGGTCGCTTGCACTCTCACGTTCAACGGTGGACCCATTCGATCGTCTTTCGGAAATATCGTTCGTTGTCATAGACCGAGCAAAAGATGGAGCAAAGCAAAAATTGAACACCTTACCTGGAGGACTGCGATACTCCGATGCCGAATTCTCCTCCAACGAATCTGAAATTATATCTCGTATTTGGCACATATCGATATCGTTGTCGTGGAAATATCGCACGTACTTGGCTGGGTGAAAATACGCAACGTTTTGCTGAACATCCCGTCCCCGTGTTTGTCCTGGCTAAGCACCATGAACTCGTACTCGCGCCCCGGATTCAGATTGTTTATCGTCGCCTCGGTGATCTTCCTCGACAATATCTTCATCGTTCTCCACTCGGTGGTGTCGGTCGGCCTGTACCTGGATCGTACGTTTCGTTTTTGTTTTTCGACATCCACGAATGGGAGGAGAGGCGCGTCTCGTTCGCTTACCAGACCGAGTATTCCATCTTGGGTCTCACGTATCCCGGCACCCAAGTCAACGTGACCGCGTTATTGCTGCTGTTGGCGCTCAAGTTGTACGGCGCCCTTGGAGGGACGTTCAACACCATCAATTCCGTGTCCGCGACCACCGTCGCGGCCTCGTTGCTCACCGCGCATTGGTACAATCCCCTGTCCTGCTCTTGTATCCTGTCGATCGTCAAGTTGCCACCGATTATAATCGTCCTGTTGGTCAACGGTATCGGCGAACCATCCTGTGAGCCCCGTGTTAACCGTGTTAATCGAGAGAGAGAGAGAGGGAGGGGGGAGGAGAAGAGGAAGGTGGTTTCGTGGAGAAAATTCTTCACCTTGTACCAAACGATCGAGGGCCTGTGAGACTGGTCCCCGTCCTTCGCGTCGCAAGGTATCTCCAAATTCTCCCCCAATTTCCTTATGTACAAGTGCTGGGGGGTGACGGTGAATACAGGCGGCCTCTGCACGATCTGCGCGCAGATTTTCCTCGAATTAATCTTGGATTATTTATCGGGCAGGTTTGAAAGTTTATAAAAGAGACTCGCCACGGTGATCGATGGGCTGGGCCCCTCGGTGCCCAGCTCGTTGTAAGGCGTGCACGTGTAACTTCCCGAGTGGGTCTCGTCCACTTTGCTGAAGTAAAGGGAACCGTTCCTTCTGTAGAACACACCCTGCACGTTGTACGGATCGAACAGGAACCCGTCCTTCTCCCACCGTAGATTCGTCAGGGGCGGATTCGCCCTGAAGTGGCAATCGAGAAGGGCCGGTTTCCCGTACGGGAGGTACACTTCTCGGGGAGCGTAGATGACTTTCGCCTTGTCTGCAAGCAGCAACCACAATTCGTTTCGACTAGAATTTCTCGATCGTCCACCAATATTTACACGTTCGTCGCTCGTATGACGCTCTCTTCTTCTTCGGGAAAAATAAGATTTTTAACCGTTACATTTTATATTTAACAAGGTTATCGAATGGGAACAGCCCTCTGGAATGTATATAAAATACGTATTTATTAATGCAAATATATACGTATAATAATAAGAAAATACAGGATCGCGACATATGAATGCAAAGAGTTGAAGAGCGGAATTTAAGAATAATAGAAAAGAGGGAATCACTCTGCATTTTTATACAATTTTAAACCTAAAATTATACCGTGTAATAATAGCAACATAGATGGGTGTTATTACGAATTTCCATCGAATACAATATAACCGAGTTGAAGTTGCCAATTAGATGCTTATATTCAGACTTTGGAAACGAACGAAAGGAAGTAGAAGCAGAGGCACTGAAAACGACTAAAGATATTAAAACTACTTCCGTTTATCGTTCTTCGTACGACGGAGTAGGAACAGGAAGTGAACGAAATCACGACGAACGTGTTGTTCCTCCGCAACAATCGCACCCTTCGACTCTGCGGATACTTGCATTGCACGTTGAGGAAGGCGGAGGCGCTCTGCTGGTCCCCGGTCTCCCCGGTCACCACGCAACTGTACTCCCCGAGATCCCCCATGGCGGCCGAGTTGATCGTCAACGTGCCGTCCCCGCCGATCGACGCCCTCCTCTTGAAATCCTTGAAACACGAAACTGTCGAAACTGTGGTCGACGATCGAGGGAGAAGAAGAATTCGAGAAGATACCTCGATCTCCGTGATCTCCGTCCCCTCCCGCAGCCAGGTGACCATCGACTTTTCCCCTTTGGCGACGCAATCGAAGTCAACCGACTCGCCCTCCATCACGGTCTTGTTGACGGGCGGAACCGCCAGCAAAGTCTCGCCTGGAACAGACGTCGGGAACGGCGACGCACCTGGGTTGAACGATTTAACGAGTCTGCCCGGTTTCAGGTTAGTCAAGCGTCAGCGGGATTACATTAATTCGGGGTCTCTTTAATTTCGCTTCGATTAATATATATGTATCTTTATCTCGAGTCGGTTAATTGTAATCGTTTTAATGTTTCTTTTTTTTTTTGTTAATCGATGTTATTTCGACGCACGATTCCCTTTTTTTTTTTTTAGTAGAGAGAAGCGATCATCTCTTTTCTTTTCTTTTTTTAAGGAAGGAAGGGGCGCGCCGAACAACTGCGCCGCCGACGCGACGATGACTCAATTCCCCATTAACAGAACCGTTCCAACGGGCAAAAACCACTAGAATTCCGTTAACGAGCGTGAATCATCCGTCGTTTAATCGTTCGTCGGAACGAAGGGATCGTGCGACCTCCTCCTTTTTGAAACGGGTGCAAATAGGGGAGGTGCGAAACAAACCTATTCTTTCCTTTTTTACTTGGTTTTTACTTAAAGGGAATCCATCCGGAAGTCGACATTCCGCTCGATCCAGCGTTAGCAGCAATTGCAGTAGTAGTAGTAGTAGTAGTAGCGTGGCCCATTTCGGTTAGTCGGTCGGCGCGTTAATTCCCTTGTCGCTTCGGATTAATACGGTTAACACGAGAGAGAGAGAGAGAGAGAGGGCCTTACCATCTATGGCGAGATGGAACCAAGTCCCGTTGTTCCTCGAGTTGGGCGTCCTGTTCGGGAAGATGACCCTGCACTCGTACCATCCCTGGTCGCTCTCCCGGATGTTGGTCAAATTGATGCTCCCCTGCCCGTATCCCCGGCTCGCCGCGTCCTCCAACAGGTGTACGCGGCCCTCGTAGCCCAACCCCGTCGAGTATCCGTTGTGGAACCACGAGAAGATCGTCCTGCCCTGCAACCGATCCGCACGCATCCGAAGGCGAGCTCCTCCATCCTTGTTGTTTCCAGAAGGAAAGGGAGAAAAAAAAAGAAGAAGAAGAAGAAGAAAGAAAGAAAGAAAGAACGGCGTGGAACCCTCTCTCGCGGTCGAAACGGCGCTAATCGTCCCTAATCGTCTGACAATGCGTTAACAGTGACCCACTGGCTGGACCCCTCGTGTCGCGGACTCGTCGTCACTAAATATAATGCAGCCTTGCGTCCCGTATTCCAATTACCAGTGTTCGATGGTGCGGAGGGGGGGGGGAGGAGGAGGAGGACGGGTGCCTGCGAGCACCTGTTTTGCATACGCATCAATCGGGTTAAGTTCCACTTGATTTTATGCGCTAGCCATGCGCGACGTTCAATTCTGTTTCCGGCCCGCGCTTGCACGCGCGCCCGATGCAACATCCGCCTCTCCCTCCCTTCCTCCCTCGCCGAAAGACAGACAGACAGAGGAGGGAAAACGTTATTTCGATGGATCGAGAAATCGAGAAAGGGATCCCACGCGGATCGAGTTCGAACCGAGCTCTCCTTCGAACCGTGTCCCACCCCTCCACCGATTTCACCGCGAAATGCTACGAGGGATTTTTAACCGTAACCTCGATGATCGATCCGGCCTCGTTAATCGTTCGTCCGTCGATGGTGGAGAGAGAGAGAGAGAAAGAAGACGAGCGTTGCCGATCGACGAGGATAAGACAAGTCTCGTATTTCTGCGGGAAACCGCGTAACGAGTCGGCAGGTAAACAAATCGAGGGGAATAAAATGGACGTATCGTTTACGTCCATGGTTGCGTAATGCGTAGGAAAGGAAGATTATTTTTTTTTTCGGGCGCACGACACTTACGTCACGATTCCATTGAAGGATGTAGGGTATCGGTGTTTCGTGCGGGAAGTCCAAATCGCAATTGAACACCGCGTACTCCCCCACCCCCGCGTTCAGGTAATTTGGCTCCTTCTCCTCTTCGAGTATCAAGCTGTGCCCGGTCGCTGGAAAAATTAAAGAAGAGGAAGAGAAACGTGGGGCAACGTCGATGGAAGAAGAAAAAAAAAAGAGAGAAACGACGTACGATATCTTTCAGATTCGAGTCAATTTTTCGAGCAAATTGGTTAATTCTCCGGCGCGGAGTTGCGCGCTGGATCTCCTTGCAACTCACCTTGATAGCAAAGGAAGATTATCAACAGGCGATGAACGCCAAGAATCGCTGCGCTCATTTTCCTCGGTCGCGGCGTACTCTCGATGATTTCGTAGCTGTCTCTCGAGGTTAGCAGACGCGATATCAGATTCGAATCACGGCTCGCGGCCGACCACGGCGTACGAGGCACGGGAGCGAAACACATCTGTCATCACCGACGCTCATCGAACCGCCACGCTTAAATGGGACGCGACACCACTTTCGATCCGAATCGATCAGCACATCCTCCTCCGCCGTTCGCCCAAGCTCACCGACGCATCCTCCTCCTCCTCCTCCTCCTCCTTCTCCTCCTCCTCCTTTTCCTCCGTCGATCGAACCGATCGAAACCGAGAACCTCCGGCCGGGCTTCCTTCCAACGATCCGCTCGCGATCACCGGCAACGACGTCTTTTATCCCCGACACCGGCAGGGATATATCGATGGATGCGGCTTACCGAGCTGCGGTCCACCGTGCTGCACCGTTCTCTCGCCTCGAGTGTCGTGATAACCCCAGTAATCGCTCCGCCTCGCTCAATCCGAGCGGATACGAACGGTAAACGAGCGAGCGGGAGGGGGGCACGCGTGGAGAGGGGCAGCGATTCCTACGCCTCGCGGTTTCTCCACCGCGAATACCTTGTTTTTTCCGCCGCCACCTCTGCGCGGGAGAAAAATCAGGAGCACAGGTGAGAATCGTACGCGATGACGATTTTAGATTTCGATTCGATTCGACTCGTCGAAGAGATCGTAACCTTCGATCCCTTTTATTTATTACGCCCATGTAGCGCAATTACGAGAGGAACGAAGACGCCTCTGGATTTTTCTTCAACATTCTTTCGTCTCGTCTCTCTCGGTCGGGCAAATTCATTTCGATACGACTCGAACTCGAAGAATCGAATCGTATTGAACCAAGTATCAATCCTCTCGGCCTTCTCGGTATTCTCGTTAGAAAAAGTAAGAGGTAAGAGTGGAATAATAATAATAATAATAATAATAATAATAATAATAATAATAATAATAATAATAATATCGTAACGGACGCAAAGATTCGATGCGTGGAATCTCGATGGTGCGAAGAAAACGACGAGGACGATGCGACTACTGCACACAGCCGCGCGCCATTTGCGTGGGTGACCTCAGATTACGTCACATCCGTCCCTTGCCGCATTAGCAGACTGCCCACAGCCTTGTCACGCTGTTGAGATAATGGATCCATTCGCATGGATCACGGTCCAGGATTGGACGTGGCCGGGACACTGGAAATAAATGCGCGCATAATGATACCGTGATCGTATTATTTCATCGACCGGCTATGCAAGGGAACAATTCCTGGTTCCACCTGACGATGACCGTCGCCCCCTCTGTTCCTCTCCCGCGCGGAGAATCGACGCCTCCTCGCATCGAATCGTCTGCCTCGCGTCTGCCTTCGCCTCGCGGCTTAAATCCTCGCCCCCCTCCCTCTTCCTCGTCCCGGCGACCTTCGAGGATCGAAGGCTTCCCTCGAATACTCGACCCGATCAGCGCCAGGTTTTCGCCAGCCAGCCGACGCATCGAGGGAAATCATGGAAATTGCGGTAATTCCCGGTAATCAGCGGCGTAGACGCGTTGCGCAAACGACGCGTTCCCGCCTTTAATAACGCGGAGGCACACGCGCGCCAAGATCGAGATTCCGCGTCTCTTCACCCGCCGCCCACGAAAACATGCGTGTCTAAGCCCGTTTCCCGACCACGGCCTCGTTTCGCCGAATTGGCAATGATCTTATTGCCTTGGCCAATACCGATATTAACGGCTAAACTGTCCGTTTCTTGGAAATTTCGTCCGCGAGAGGGAGGGGAGAAAAAGAGATCGTCGGGGTTAGCTTGGTTGCGCGATTTTATCGCGTACCGCGAGACAAATTGCGGGGAGATCGTCGAACCTCGCGACGCGTCGCAATATAACGTAATGTAATCGACTGCCCCGTATTTTCGTCACCAATGGAAGTATCGTGACCAAGATAGATTTCTAAAATAACGTTTGCATTTATTAAATTTGAACGTTATAAACTATGCGATATCTATATCTATATATATATATATACGTTATATACGATACGTAATATATTATTATTTTGTTACACGATAATATTAATGTATGTACACATAACGACGTAGGTGTGCGTAGTCTTCCTTTCCTTTTCTTTTTCTTAAAAACCGGGCAACGCGTTGATACGACGAGTCGTTTCCTCGACCCGTTCTTTTCCGATTCTTACGATTCGACGTATGTGTATATATATATATATATATATATATATATATATATATATATATGTATA